TTTTCTTGTCTCCTATTTTCTTGGGCATGTTGTCAAGTGATTTGTCATTTAATTAAATTTTTCAAAGAAACAGCAGACAGACCTGCAGATGGGGATCCACTTGGTGTGGTATTTTATGTGCTTAGTGTTAAGTGAGCACCACAGGAAAGCCCTAGCCTCAGGAATGAGGTCTTGCACCATCTTATTCTGCTCAGGGTTAGAATAATGTTGATATAAGTAGACTGCTAGCCATCTAGACGGATGCTAAGCTGACTCACATCTGAGTCTCACAGCATCAAGGGTCCATGGAGGCTCAGACACTTCAGGGCCCATGTATCCGTAATACATGGCAAAATATAAGTGTGCCACACTGACGTGTATGTACCTAGAAAATTGTAGAGCCCCCATCTGTGAGTGTCGGCCTGCTGTTGGCTGTGGTATCCAAGGTTTGGGTATAGTTACTAGAAATAGTTCCTTGGCCACTAAAATTGATTCTAAGGTGAGTCATAGCTGAACCTCAAAGTTGTCAGGACTTGTCCAATCCAGAAAGTTGAGTGAGAGTACCCCATTTCCACACTCATACAGTGGAAACTTGGGTATCTCTCATACAAGTCTACAGCTGATGTGGGAATGTACTTAGAAGGTGTATCTGAGCTTCGGACTGCTTGGAGCCTTTAGTTTCTACCAAGTGCTGGCTTTCACCATGATGGTCTTGGCATGGAACTCTGAGAAAAAGCTCTGTTCAGCTTTCATGTCAGTAGGTAGAGTCCAACTGTTTACTGTGCCTCCTGAGGATGGAGGCAGGGTTTGGGGAGTAGCCTCTACCTCAGAGCCTAATGTCATTCTCACGACTCAGTACACAGATACTGGCCTAAAGGTAGAAAGAAGCCCTGCACTAGATTTCACTGTGGCAGGCCTAGATTAAATTCTCTATCCAGGCTAATCTTCCTGGAGATGGTGAAGAAGTATCTTTTTGCCTTTTTTATAGCTATTCATTATGATGTATTTGTAGCGGGAAATTGCTAAATGTTATCTGCCAACTGGCAACTCTATTTTTATTAATTTTTTTTTTGAGATAGGGTCTCATTCTGCAGGCTTGGCTGGTCTGAAACTCAGTATGAAAATTGGGTTGGCCTCAAACTCGCAGAGATCTGCATCTCTCTGATTCCTGAGTGCTGGGATTAAAAATTTGTGCCACCTCACCTGACTCCAACCAGCTTTTTAAATAGTTCCTAGGGTTTTTGCTTTTATTGATCTCTCCTGAGAACCCAGAGTGTTGCCTGGCTCATAGTGGTTATTGAATAAGTATTTTTAAGTATATACTTTAGAATGCTCATACAGCTCCCATGGTTCTGTAGCCTCGCTGGTATGGTATTGGTATGATTGTATATACTGTCAAACATCAGATACTTTTCTATGGCTCTCACTCCTCATCTGACTTGCTGCATTTCACCAAACTCTAATATGATCAAATACTTTTTATATATCTATTAGCTATGTGGCTTTTTTCTCTTTTATGGAGGATTCATCAATCTTGTGCTCATTTTCCTCTTGGTTGCCCATCTCTGTTTCTTACAGATATATGAAACTTTATTGATCCAGCATTCACACTCTGTAATAGTTATCTATGTAGTAAATATCTTATCCTGTGATTTTTTTTGTCTATTTATGGCTTTTATTTTTATTCATTGGGTGCCTTGTGCCATAGCATATGTGTAGAAATCAGACTGCAACTGTAGGGAATTAGTTCTCTCCTTCCCTATGTGGGCCCAAGGTATTGAACTCAGGTCACCAGGTTTTGTGGCAAGTGCCTTTATCCACTGAGCCATTTTGTTGACACACTTTATGACACTTTTCAAGAACAGGATTTTTTTTATTTTAGTGAAGCTATATTGGGTGGTCATTTCCTTAATAACTACACCTTTTGTACCCTTTTAAAAATATAGTATTTTCGCTGGGTGATAGTGGCACACGCCTTTAATCCCAGTACTCGGGAGGCAGAGGCAGGCGGATCTCTGTGAGTTCGAGACCAGCCTGGTCTACAGAGCTAGTTCCAGGACAGGCTCCAAAGCCACAGAGAAACCCTGTCTCGAAAAACCAAAATAAATAAATAAATAAAATATAGTATTTTTAGTTTTTGAAATTAAAGTATAATTGTATTTTCCCCCTTCCCTTTCCTCCTTCCAGCCCTTCCTAGTATTTCTCTTTTGCTTGCTCTCAAATTTATGACTTCTTTTTCTTGAGTCCACCTTTTGTATCTTAAGATATAAATACTCTTATGCATTGCTGGTAGAAGTACAGAAGAATACAACTCATACAGGGTGAAATTTATATATAAAAATTACATCAGCATTTACTCCGTCTCGGCAATTTCACTTCTTAGAATTTATTTGAAATAAATGTTTAAAAAATACCAAATTTTAAATATATATATTAAACACACACATGGCTAACTTTTAGGGCTTAGTTCAAAATAGCATAAGACTTGATATAAGACCAGTATTTCAGTGTTTGTTAGTAGCAGAGTATCTGTTTAACTATTGTACAGTGAAGTATTGTATAGAAACAGTTTTTATATTAATATGGAAGTATTTATGGGTTATATTATTAAATCCAAAAAAGAAAGTTTCAGGCCATTCTTTATATAGGAGAAAGGTATAACTAATGAATTCCATTTATTATGTATATATGTTATATACGTATATATAAAGGAAATACTGGAACTGTAAGTCAAACTTAAGAAGAAATACTATTTATGGGGAAGGAAGGGAAAGAAATGAAGGGGTCAGAGATGGAATGATACTTCTGTAAAAGTGCTGTATAAATCTTTAGAGCTATATACATGTTTTGCATGATTACAAATGTAATAAAAACTATAATCAAAAAGGAAAGAGGGCTGGGGGTGTAGTTTACAATTGGGTGCTTACTTAGCATGCACTAAGCCCTGGATTCAAACCTTAGGATCACATACACACAAAACTCAAGAAAGAATAAATCCATAAAATTAAAAACCTGAAGCAAATGATAAACATAGTTGATAGCATAACCACTCAGAGAAAATAATTACTGTAGTGACTTTGAAGTAATACATATCTATTACTAACAATATATAATCTAAGGACTGCAAAAATATAAAGGTATATTCAATCATTTTATTGTTGTTAGACATATTAGTATTGGTTGTGGAATTTTTCAATTCTGTGAATATGTGTTAGAGAAAGCTAATAATAAAGCACTTTGGTAGTATTATTAGGGTGTGAGGAACTGGTGATAAAGTGCTTGCCTAGAAGGCAAGCAGCCTTGGGTTTGCTCCCCAGGTCTCCCCAAAACAACTGTCCAAACAAAATAAAAGAGATGCAGGTCTAAAACCAGAGTTAAATAGAAACCTTGTCATATTAAATTTGAATTGGAAATGTTCTTATAAATTTAAGATCAATTTTTCTCCTATAAAATAGCCTAGCTTTGCCTACTATAAAGGCTGAGAAGCAACAATGAACAATAATAGTTTCCAAGTACTTTTCATTTAAAGGAACCAGGGAACCTTGGGAAAATAGTCAAGGTTCAAGTTAGAAAATGTACAAGATAAGCTTGGGATAGCTTTCTGTTCCAGAAAATCAGAAAGCAAACTAGGAGCTGGTTTAAAGGACTTCTTATGTGTTCTAAGTGGGACCGCAAATAATCACTATATGTATTGAAATGCATATATTCTATAAAAATATGTGATTTCATAAGTGTACTGCAGATAACCACTGGTTACCATTAGGTATTTCTAAAGTAATAGTTTCTTATTGTCATAAATAATGAAGAACAGATGGAATCAGGCATTTATGTGCTTTTCTTATATAAACTATACTCAGGAAAACTAAAAGGTTGATGATTAAAACTACAAAAGAAATAATAGAGTCAAGGAAGGCCCATTTTGTAATTTGTATAAGTTAATAGATCTAAACAATAATCACCAATCACTATAAAGCCCATTAGGTAAAAGTTTAATGGGGGTACATAATAATTGAGGATGTGACAAACACCACTTAAATTCACAAATTAATTTCAACATTACTAAAAATGTGCAAGTGAACATTATGTACCTTTGGACATGGTACAATAGGAAATATACACTTAGATATGAAAATTTTTACATTAAATGTTGAACATGAATCTAATTAAATCTTTACAGAAACAGTCTTTAATATAACTTTCTAGGATATTATAAATGATCTTGATCTGTTCTGGATAATTTGGTATCTATGAGCAAATACACATACACACTAGGTATTTGAGATGCACCAAATTTGACCCAAATTGTTAAAAAAGTATATACAAGTGATAAGTGACCAATGACAACTGTATTAGACTAGATTTGACCCAAATTGATAAAAAAGTATATACAAGTGATAAGTGACCAATGACAACTGTATTAGACTAGATTTGACCCAAATTGATAAAAAAGTATATACAAGTGATAAGTGACCAATGACAACTGTATTAGACTAGATTTGACTGTCAAGAAATTTTGAACAAGTTATCATCAAAAACATTTTATTAAATCAATTTGTTCACCAAACAGATAATGGTTATATAATATCAATAGATGGAGAAGAAAAGTTAATGAAGAGATGGAACAGAAAAATGATTTAAAAGTTGTAATAGCCAAAAACCGATTTAGATCTTGATTAAATAACCAAGTATTTAAAAAGTCACTGAAATAATCAGTCATTCAAATATAAATTTGAAATTACTAAGTTAATGACTATGAAAATGGTATTCTGGTACTACTCAAATGTCCTTGTGAGTTAGAGGTATGTATACTTGGATGAGCTTGAGGTTTCTGGGTGCCTTCCTTACTTTGACCTTATGCAAGATGCAGTTTTAAGGTCCATGCACACTTACATGTACATGCATCTGCATGTGTGTGCTTGCACACACATACACACACACACTTGCTACATGTTATAAAAACCGTTCCTAAACTAGGTTCTGTATCTGAGATCCAGAGTTTATTTTTTATTAACTTTTAAAAGGTTGTACTGGGGAGGCTTTGTAGAACTTCCATATCTCTTTGTCTTGATCCAGATGAACCCCCAAAGAAGAACAAAGGTGATCCCATGAACAACCTGGAAAGTTTTTACCACGAGACTATAATGAAAAAGCGTCTTGAAGAGTTCCAACTTATGAGAGGTGAACCCTTTGCTTCCCACTCACTGGTCTCAGCTACATCAGTGGGTGATAGTGGCACAGCTGAGAACCCATCACTCCTCCAGGACAAGGGAAAGCAGGCAGCACAGGGTAAAGGCCCCAGTCTCCATGTGGCAAAAGTTATTGATTTTCCACCTGAGCAGTGTTGGACTGGGCCTAAGAAGCTGACGCAACCAATAGAGTTTATCCCTGAAGATGAGATCCAGAGAAACCGTTTATCAGAGGAGGAGATCCGAAACATCCCTATGTTTTCTTCATATAACCCAGGGGAACCAAACAAGGTATAGGCCAAATCGAGAACACAATATGGGTTGTTCTCACTTTATTTACCTCTACCTAACAGGGCATTTTTAAATTAACTTTGATTCTGCCAAAGATTATGACATAGGTATTCTGTTTGTCCTTAACCATCATTTTCTGAATACTATTTAAGTAGCCTATTTCCTACCATGTTATGTGTGCCTTTCTTAGGTTCTAAAGTCTCCTCAGAATTTTTAAATAAAAATGAGATTTAGCTCCTACCCACTAAAAGCTCTGAATTATAGGAAAAGTAACCACATATTTCCTAATGATTGACTACCTGGTTGTGGGTTCCGTTAAAAGCAAAAATTCCTAAAGCATTCATTTTTGTCCAATTTAAGAAAACAGAGTAAAGAATAATGTTCCCCGTTTTAAAAAACTGAATGGAGGGATACTGAAGTATTTGAACTGCCTTTCTGTTATATTATTCCTATTCCAAGGGTAGCTTGACCTTCATTTACTTTTTGTCATGAACTGTTACTAACATGTCAAAGAATAAATAGCCCATGGATAAATTGGGAATATCTGCATACTTAGCTAGCCATGTTTACTAAGACTTAATTTTCATATTTGCTTAGTTTTAAAAAATAAGAAAAGTATTATGAATGTACCTGAAGAATTTCATGTATTCTTCATCAATCCCATTCTTCCTTCTTTCCAGTTTTAACCACTATTTTGAATTTGCTAGTTCTCTTCCTGGGGACATTTTTATCTATTTACTACATAAATGGTATACAACTGTCCCTAACTAATAATAGCTAAGTTTACTTTCTTTTACATGATTATATGTGAAAAATATGCATTCAGTAGAACCTATACTCTGAATTTTGAATTTGTATTTTTGTCAAACAGGCAATATACATTATGGTGCTATGGTACTTTATTGAGATGCTGGGCAGCCATAATGACCCACAGCTCACAGTCAGTCAGCTCCGTGTCAAAAGTAGAAACCATTGACACTCTGGAGTACCAGGTTGCTAAAGTGCAGTGTTCCATAGATTATATATATTAAGTACATTTCTAAGGATATTGTCAACTTACAAAGGATTTATCAAAATATAACCCTATCTTAACCCCAGGTACTTCTTAGCTATCCATAAATATTTATAGATATCCATAGATACAGTTTTATACAGTTTAAAACTGTTACTATTTTTACTCAATATACCCAATATTTTAAAATTGTATTTCTAATGATACAAGGAACAATTTAGTAATCCACAATAGAAATATGATATAATTAATTTTCCATTTTTAAAATTTATTTTCCCCCATTACTTTACTGCTACAGATAAATCTGTATCAAGCATTGTTATGTATATTGTCGGTTTTCCACAGTACTAGAAATTGAACCTAACATCTTGGAAATACTAGGCAAATTCTTTACCCTTGAGCTATTTCCATAGACTTCTTTTTCACTTAATGTTGAGACAGAATTTCACTAATTGCATGGGCTTGAACTCAATCTGTAGTCCAAGTAATCATGAACTTGTGATCTCCCTGCCTTGGCCTCCTAAATAATTTAGATTCTAGACATAAATCACCAGGCCTGGCTTGTACACATCTCTTATTGCCCATGTACAAACATTCCTCCTAGACAGTATTTTTCAAGCTATGATTCATAGGTTACACCAGCAACCTATTTTAAGGAAATGAATAGAAGAATAGAATAGAATAGTAGATCAAAGTGTACCCCATACAGTTGTATTCCCCACAGTTAAGCACTGTTTCTTAAAAGTTATATTTTTTGTTCATGCAAAGTGTGAGAGAGTAGAAAAAAGGAATGGTATATATGGGCTATAGTGTTTAATGTAGTTCTTCCTGTAGATCTCAGGCAAAATATTGAGCAATATATCCTTCTCTTATATTTCACACATTTTAGTGTACATAGAAAGCACCTGAAGAAGTTATTAAGACAGGTTGCTGGCCTTCACCACCAGGTTTTTGACTTAGTGGATCTGGAAAAGGGTATGAAAATTTGTATTTCCAATGTGTTCCCAGGAAATACTAACAGTTTTGGTCTAAGAATGGAATTTCTTGGTTGCATACCAAGAAATGAAATTACTGATACAGGATATCCATATCTTCCACTTGTACCAAGGAGTATTTCAGAAATTTCCTTTACATCTTTGACAAAACTTTCTATTAGACTTTTAACTTTACTTAAGAGTTCAGAAAGGTAATTTATTTTTAAATTTGCATATTCCTATTTTCCAGTAAAGATGTACATGTATTTTTATATTAATTATGCCTTCTACTCTCTGAGTTAGCTTTCTGTTCCTTTGCCCATAATTTGATATGTCTGCCTTCTTATTTTTAATGATTACTTTTCATTTTTTAAAGATTTCTTTTTATTGTGTGTGTGCCACATGTGTGAGAAGAAGAACAAAGAAGAGAGTTATTTGGACTGCTAATTTCTGAGTATTTTCTGAAATTAATGGCAGACTCGTAGCCATACATTCATGAGAATATTAGCAAGATAAATACCAAAAACTACATCTAAGCTAACATATTCAAACTATAGAAAGGCAAAAAGAATGAATGCTTTATATAGGATCAAAAAGAATTACATCAGACGTATCACAAGGCAACACAAGCAAGAAGAGAATGGAATGAAATATTTATGTTTAGAGAGAAAAAAATCCCACCTGCCCAGAAAACATCCTTTTGATACAGACGAAGCAAACTAACAGTTCTTGGACAAACAGGATATAGAGAATTTGTCACAATAAAATTATTCTCTTGGGCTAGAAAGATGGCTCAGCGGTTAAGAGCTCTGACTGCTCATCTTGAGGTCATGAGTTCAATTCCCAGCAACTACATAGTAACTCACCACCATCTGTAATGTGATCTGGCGCCCTCTTCTGGTCTGCAGGCATACATGCAGACAGAACACTGTATACATAATAAGTAAATAAAAAAAATATTCTCCTAAATCTAGGAAAATTAGATAGCTTAATAATTCAGATTTATGTAAAGGAAGAACATAGAGGAAAGAATACACGTGGATAAAATAGTGTGATTTTTTTTTTATTCTGTAAAACAGAAGCAGAGAGAATACATTTTATGAGATGACACTTAGGTTATTACAGAAACCAGTTAAAAATATTACAATAAAAGAAAATTACAACCTCCTGTTTTGTGCATAGAAGCAAAAGTCCTAAATCAAAGCATTTTGAATGTTATAATGAAGTCTATTATTATATATAGAAACCTCAAAATTAGGTCCACAGAAATTACTGAATTGAATTTTTACAAAGCAAATTCAATGCAGAAATGATAATCTTTTCTATACAAATGATACTAGAACAACTGGCTATCCAAATTCAAAACTAGACACAAACCTTTCCTCCATCATAAAAAATTAATTAAAAATACATGATAGGCCCATGCAGAAAACAATAAATGTTCCAAAATATTTAGAAGAAAACGGGCATAAAATCTAAGTGGCCTTATCTTTGCTGTATTTTTCACCAAAAACACAATTTGTATTAAAAATGATAAATTATACTTTGTTCAAATTGCAAATTTTTCTGTGAAAGACATGTTAGAAATATACAGAAGATATATCGTAGATTGAAAGACATATTTCACAGCACATGCATATCTAACAAAGGACTTACATCTACAATATACAAAGAACTAAAACTTGACAGTAGTAAATGAACAACTCAATTTAAAAAATGGTCAAAGTATAAAACTAGATGGCTCATCAAAGAAGATTCATCAAGGAATTGCAAATGAAATAATGAGATGTTATTATTAAGCATGCACTAATATTAATGACAAAACTGATTTTATGTGTATATATATATATATTTATACATATATAAGGGCATGTGAATACTTGCAATGACTATTCATTATTGCCAAAAACTAGAACCAATCAAAATGTCCTCCAAATGGATACATTTGGCAGATGGATGCAATGAAATGTAATTTAGCAACAAAAATAATTGAGCTATCAAACCATATAAAGACATAAACTTTAGATGCATCTAATAAACAAAATATGCTACTATGTAAATAAAGCATTTTATTATTTTGTAATCTGGAAAACTCAGAATGACAGAGAGGCATCAAAACAATAGTTAATTATCAAAAGTTAGGTGAAAGGAGAGAAAAAGTGAAGTTTAAAGCATTTTTAGGTGAATAAAATAATTCTATGTGATAATGAAATGGTGAAGGCAAGTTGTATGTTCAAGAGACTATATAAAACTACACAGTACAAAGAGACTCTTACTGTGCACAAGTATTTAAAAGTCGTTTCAGAGATTAGAAAATTTCAGAAAAGAGTAAATACTATGATAAGAGTATATAAAACAGTAAAAAAGTGTCTATAAATCACTAAAAAGATAGGAGGAAAGGTACTGACCTAACTAGCTTTAGAAATGTGTAATCTGCGAGACTAGCAGCAAATAGGAACTGTACATAAACACCACACCCAGGTTGCCAAGGTTGTGTCTCCTGGTTAACAATGCTGATACTGCTGTGCACACATCTTTAAGTAAATGGTTGGCAGATAGTAGGCGCAGGTTTTCATAGTTGGAATTTGGAGATAAATAAAGGGAGAAAATTAAAATGATCCATGCGGTAGTAGCTTAAATTTGGGAGCATCACTGTGGATTCATATATAACTTAATCCAGACACACGTAGTTTACATGTAGTAGAAATATTTGTCTGCATTTATACACAGGTTAGTATTAGCATGGCAAGCCCCCAATGAATCAAACTTGCCCTTGCTCAGGATGGATTACTTCTAATACCATTCTCTGCCAAATGTAACAAGAGATCTTCAGAGAAATAAATGGCTGGTCCTATTACTCAGACAGGAAATACACAAGATTAGCCTTTAGTACTTTTGTACCCAAAGGTAAAATAGCAGCATAAAACACAGGAACTGATGGATAACTCTAATAATCAAAGCTAGAACTCTCTGTGCAACAAACTAAACAACTTTAACTTTCAATAATGATTCAAGATATAGACTACCCTTATCTTGTACAGGTTCTGAGAATTAAAAACTTGAGGAAGGAAGTAGAGAAGAGATAAATCTTAGGAACTTAATTCCCTGCTGCTTGGTTTTGAGTGGCTTGTGTTGACCTGTTTCCCAAGAGTACTATGGAAAGGAAGACAAGCAGTTAATGGAGGAAGCTGACCAGCACTCCCTCAGGCAGGAAATGAAAGCAAATATCAGCAGTCACAAATCAGTGTTGTTAGCATTTCTGCTGTATACAGTGTGACCAAAACTGAACTCTGCCAGTGTAGTTTTCTTCCCAATAACTCGTCATCACTCTAGTCTAACATCAAGAAAAACAACAGGTAAAACCTAGTAATGGGCTATTTTTATAAAAACCAAATCTGACCAGTATTACTACAATTTTCATAATCATGAATAATAAGGAAAATCTGAAAAATTGTCAAGAGGAGTTTAAAGATACATGACAGCTACATGAAAGGTAGTACTCTAGATGGTGTCTTAAACAGAGAATAACATTAGGTAGAAACTAAGGAAATGCAAATAAAGAATGGACTCTTGTTAATAATGTAACAGCACTAGTTTATTAATAAAATGAATATAACATAAATGTAAGATATTTATTAAGTCAGAAACTGGATATGAAGCATAAGGATATTATATTTAAGCTTGGAAAAATCAAATCAAATTTGTAAGGCTTTTTAAAAGTTACAAATAAATTCAGAGAGTATAAACTATATAAAGTTCAAAATATGCAATCAAAACTAAATATCACACAGTGCTAGCAGAAGGTTTTGTTTTTCTGTTTCACAATCATGCTTGTCTTATTTTAGGGCCTCCCAATATCTGTATGTCTATATATGCACGTGCTATAAATACATATCTATGTTTTAGATACACACATAGATATATCTGTACATATAAGTATGTGTGTAAACTTTTGCAGCAGAGAACATAAAACCGAGAAAGAACAACCTGTTGACCAGAAGTTCTTTTTAAAAAAAAAACAACCCACAACAACAACAACCAAAAAAACCTTTTAATCATGTGGCTTGGGAGGTGACTCAGCAGTTAGGGTACTGGTTTGTTTTGTTTTGTTTTGTTTTTTTCCCCAGAGGACCCAGATTTGATTCCCAGCATCTGCCTGATGAACAGATTGCAACTCCAATTCCAGGGACTCTTCTGCCCTTTCTGGTATCCACAGGCACTGCATGTACATGGTACACAAACTTACATGCAGACAAAACACTCATACACATAATATTTTTAAATACTGAAAAATAAAAAAATATATTTATGAGAAGAAACAGTCAGTATGGATCTTTTCTAATTGTAGAGAAAGTTGGGATCTGTTCCCACATACTCCCTTCCCCGTTTTTAAAACCTGTTAAAATGATTTTTATTGAAAATAATCTTTTTCATATAAGATATTTTGATCACAGTTTTTCCTCTCTCATGTCGTCCCAGATCCTCCCCACCCATCCAACTCCATGACTTCTCTCTCTCTCTGAAACAAACAGGCAAATAAACCAAAGGAAAAGATAAGGCACAAAAACATGTACACACAGACACATACATCATACACAAAAAATAAAACCCATAAAAACACAAAATCAGAAACCACAGTATATAAGCAAAAGACCAGTAAGATTTTTTTTTAATGCCCAAACAAAGCAATGTGGGACAAAAAATTAAAAGTACCATTGCATTTGTTTTGTGTTGACGGTCTTCTGCTATGTATTGGGCTTAATCTTAAATCTTACACTGCTTTCTAAGGTTAAGTGGTAAAGATTCCACTATTTAGTAACTTTAATGATGTTTAATGTATTTCTCCATATATTTTAGTGACTATATCAGTCATTTCCTGACTGTTGTCTTTTCTGTTCTAGTGTGAATTCTTTCCTAATTTTTAAAGCAAAAACTTTGTTAAATTACTTTTCCCTCTTTCATCCTTTTTGTATTGTTGTTAAATAATACATTGGATCTACCTTCCTAGGAAAAATATAAGTACCCAAAGCAGTATTGTTGGCTTTAGCATGATGTTGTATCGCAGGTTTGTAGGGATTTCTCATCTTCCATGACTGAAGCAACTTCCTCATTTTTCCCTTACAGTAACTTACCATCATTATACTTTTAGCTTCAATGAGCTGGACTACTTTAAAATGCTTTGTCTAAGTAAAATAATATAATATTTGTTCTCCTGTTACCTAGTATATACTCCTAAAAGTTTATCTATGTCATAGCATTTGATAGTGTTTATGGAAAGCAATAAAACCTCAACTTTTACCTTAAAAAGAATAAGAGATAGTTTATTCTTGAGCCAGATATCAGTGACTATGACCTGGTAATGCAAATTTAGATTACCCACAATCCATGCTGCAAGATGGTAACAGTTTCATGACTTTTTATAGTAACAGAAAAACAAAGAAAATCATAAATCAAGGTACTTGCAAGTACATTGGTGGAAACATCAGGTAGGTGGGTTACAGCCAAGTGGAGAAATCTCTGCTATAGGCCTCATATGCTTCCTGATGATATTCTTAGCATTTGGGTAGGTGGAAGCTAATGATCTGTTCATACATTTCACAAGATTTCACTTGTCAGTGACAAGCATGTTGGGTCAGACCCAGGGGGGCAAGGAATAGATATTAAGAAGGGTGGCTAAAAAGATAGCTCAAGATAATTAATTATAATTAGGCCCTCTGCCTGCATCATCCAAACCTACCCACAGGCATTGAAGTTCTAGTTAGTTTTTAGCGTTTTATGGGATTCAGCATAATGTATGGTTTCTTTCCAGAAAATCTCATTCACAATAGGTTTTTTTTCCTTTTAAGGATTAAATAATATTCCAGTCTAATATATATGCTACCTTCTCTTTCAATAGCATCCTATTACTAATTGATAGAATAGTATCCTGAGGGTATTAGTCACAGGTTGGTTTTTTTGTTGTTTAATTCTGTTTTCTTCATGGTCTCTGTTTCCTCTCATTTGTTTTTGTTGCCCCTGTTTTCTATTCTCCACATTAGAAGCCTTTCTAATTTGCCCGATAATCACTATCCTTATTTCTGGCTGTAAAGTTGTTCAGAAGCTCTGAGATCATGGCCTTTGTGTACTTTGAATTCACGGTGATATTTTATAATCCTTGCACTTAGGAGACTGAAGCAGGAGGTTTGTGAGTCTTAGACCAGCCTGGGGTATTAATGAGACCAAATGACAATAACAAAATAGTAATAACAATGACCCAGACGATCTGGCTGAATCACTTGTTGAAGAACTCTGCTATTCTAAGTTAGTATTTTTGTCTTTCTTTGGCATTAGTGCCCCTAAAGGAGACTGTCCCCTGTGCTTTCTTGCAAAGGAACTACCAGTGTTCTGGTAGAGGAATGTTGGTCAGATCATGGGTTTCCCAGTGTTTGGTATGCATTCTTTCAGTCTTGCTTTCAGAAAATACTTCTCTTGACCTCAGCTATACAAGACATTCCACGTTTTCTGACAATTAACCTTCAATATACTACCAGGATTGGTGAGTTTCCCTCAGCCAGTACTATAATTGCAGAGGGTTTAAAGATCTAATTTATTTTACAACAGCTTTCAGCTTCCCATCTTCATTTTAACCCTATCTAATGACATCTATTTCCCGAGCCACCCAAAGCTATCAATTCTTGAAGCGTTTATGCATGTGTTTGGTTTTTCCTTTTTGTATATTTATTTAATTTTTAGACAGGATGTCACTGTGTTGCCCAGACTGGACTCTTATCCCAACTCAACCTTCCTAGTTGGTAGAACTATAGGTTTTTATCACTGTGCCAACTTTTAAAACTTGTGTGTGTGTCGTATGTGTGAGGATTATGTGTATGTGTATATGTGTGTACATACACACACATAGAGGCCAGAGGTCAATGTCACATGTCTTCCTCTAGTTCTCTCCATCTTACTTTTTGCAATAGGGTCTCATTGAGTTTAGAAATTATCAACTAGCTAGACTGGTTTGGGGATCCACCCAGCTTTTTACATGGGTACCAGGGATTTAAAATCAGGTCCACATCTTTGTACACACTTGTATCCACTGAGCCACCTCCCTAACCCACATATGACTTTTGAAGACTTTTAAAGAAGATTGAATGTCTTCTTGATTTTTTTTTTTGCCCTAAGGCTTTGCTAGTGAGCTTTTTTAGTGTGCTTCATTCCTACTCATTCATTTTTATATCTTCCAGAACTTTGTTGCTATTACTTTCTGAGTTCTTTCTGTCCTGTTGGTTTCAGGCCTTTAGCTTTAGAGTTTAACATGGAGAGAATAACAGATAAATGTTCAGTCTCCCATCGGAGAGTAATTCAAGTCATAATGCAAGAGTTGCTTTCGTTCTGTGATATTTTTGTCACTTTTCAATTTGTATTAGGTGCTATACCTGAAGAACCTTAGTCCTCGGGTGAAAGAAAGGGACCTTATCTCATTATTCGCTCGCTTCCAGGAGAAAAAAGGACCACCCATTCAGTTCCAAATAATGACTGGACGCATGAGAGGGCAGGCTTTCATCACCTTTCCCAGTAAGTAGCTTCATCTAGATAATCACTCCAGTGCACCATCAGTTCACGCGAGGCTAACATATTACCTTGCTGAGTTAGATATAGCCTTAGCACATAGAAGGGAGCCAGTAAGGAAAATACATTTCCAGTATTCCTAGATCTTCCTTGCTCTACTTAATTCCTCTTCTCTATCGGTATTGTATAACCACCTTACCCCGGTGTCCTCTATTTCCCAACTTTTGACATTTCCTTTCTACCCTACCAATATTTATTTTCTTTATATTGATAGTACTATTTCTACTCTATAACAGAATTATTCATAGTTAATATGTTTGCATTGTTATCAGAAGACATATACTCATGTCTTATTCCTTTAGAACTAAGTGATTTTAAGCTCATTAATTCATTACCAATTCATAATTATTGAAAGATGATACCTTCTTCCAAATATCACTTGCATGTTAGTGCATGGCTTGTGTTCTAATCTAAGTGCAAGAATAATACAGTAATTTTTATTTCAATAATAAATTGGCCAGTATGTTTTTTGTGGAAAGACTCTAGATAGGATCTGTTCCTTTCGTTGTCCCTAACTTGACATTTTGACACTTGGTTAATTTTTATGTGGGCAAGTGATTCTACACATTAAAAATGCTGATCTCCTTTCCGTTGCTTTCATATAACCTTGTACTATTTTTTCTGTCTCATTGAAGGTTTGTAGATTCTTTGTAGCATTGGTTTTTAATCTTTTGAAGTGAGAATTCCTATTAAATTTTTAAAAATTTCAAGGATTTTCACAGAATATATATAACCTACTAATTGAAAGATTCATAATACAAAGGCTTTATATTAATTTGTGTACATGTTTATATAGTGTGTGTGTATATATGCACATGCCTAAGCATGTATGTAGAGGCCAGAAGCTAACCTATAGGATCTTCCCTAGTTGCTCTTCCACCTTAATTTTCTCACTGAACTGAAAGCTCATTGATATGGCTAGGCTGGCTGGCCAGTGAGCTACAAGGGACTACCTCCCGAGTTTTAGGGTTGCTGATACATGCTTCCATACCTGGAGTTTTATATGGGTACCAGGGACCCAAACTCAAGTCCTCATGCTTACATGGCAAGCATTTTGCTACCAGAGCCATGTTCCCAGTCCCAGTTTTACACTTCTTAATTTGTGGCTTTTTTACTAATCCTAACAGCTATAGTACACACTTGACAATTTGTGGGATGTCTCAGACAAAATGATCTCAGTATTGTCTGCTTATAATTCCACAGACTCTTGTCCATAGTCTACCCCTCCTTATTTCTTACATATAGTCTCTGAGACCCATATGTTAAATATTCCTGCTATGCACTATATATTCACATACACAAATTTTCTGTATATCGTAAGAGAAATTCATTATCCCAATAAGGAGTCCCATAACCACTTTCCCTCTAAAAGAAAAACGTAGCTAAGTATGTTCAATAATGTAATAACTTCTTTTATTTGTGTAACAATTTTGAAAAATTTGCATGCATATCCATAATCTATCTAGAGGCATGTTTACAATTATGTTTAACTTATATTTCTTTAGTTCACTCCCTATGTATCTTTATTTCTTCTATATATTTGAATCAAATATACATTTTGAAGGTCTTTTGTCATTATTATTATTACTATTACTACCCACTAATTTAATCTTCTTGACTTACACAAATTGGGACTTATAGGCATGACAAAAATATTTAGCATCATGATTTTATAGCAAACCAATCTGAATTAAATTTGTAATAATAATTGAGTGATTAAGCGCTATATAATTTGATGCATTTTTCTTATTTTTTTTCCAGATAAAGACATAGCATGGCAAGCATTGCATCAAATAAATGGATATAAACTTCATGGGAAAATATTGGTGATAGAGTTTGGAAAGAACAAACAGCAACAGCCAGCTGTCCAGGGTGCTTCCCTTATAACATCTGCTACAGATAGCAGTACAGAAATCAGTGGTAGCTAGAATACATATCGACACACGTACATACACATTTGGATATATGTATGTGTATAAACACACACTCCTATCTTTCTTTTATCGTAATCTAAAATCTAGGATATATATATACATAGAAGTTTGTTTTTGGCCGGGCGGTGGTGGCGCACGCCTTTAATCCCAGCACTCGGGAGGCAGAGGCAGGCGGATCTCTGTGAGTTTGAGACCAGCCTGGTCTACAAGAGCTAGTTCCAGGACAGGCTCCAAAACCACAGAGAAACCCTGTCTCGAAAAACCAAAAAAAAAAAAAAAAAAGAAGTTTGTTTTTAAAGTGAAGAGGAAATATTAGAAAGACAGTAATTAGGACAGTGGCTTTCCACATTTAAAGAGAATTGTTATAAAAATTTCCCATAATTAAATACTGTATAATCTAGAAAATGACAATATAAAATTGACACTATCCTGAGTATTAAAGATAATAATCATGCACTATATAGGGTAGAAAGTACCCTGAGCATTAAGATCATAGAAAACCTTTAATTCTCAGGGTAAGTTACATTATTGTTCCTGAAGATTCTTTAAAATTTTTGCAGTCTTTAATGTTTAGTCCAAATACTTTTTCTGAGACTGTTTCCTGTATACAAAGATTTGAAACTAATTCAATGTTAAAATATTTATTTACTAGAACTCATTGTGTTTTGTCAGAACTTTAAACAGTTATAGTAGGGAGATTCATGAGTTGATCAACATATTTAATGATTGCTTACACTGAGTTTTCACAGTCCTCAAAAAGATATATATTATATATCTATATATCTATATATTATATATACATATAATGCTGGCTTCTTTTAAGCCAAAATATTGGTAATCTCATGATACTATTAAATTCAAAACAATAGACATTAAACATGGAGTAACTGCCTAATACATATTAAACATTAGATATATGAACTTTAAAGAGGGAACAAACTAGCAGAGAATACTATAGGGACAGGAAAGAAAGTTCTATACTTTAGAAGAAATGCATCCTGCCTCAAACTCCTAGTGATTTGTTTATAGTTGTTGAAGAATAGAAACACAATATGGTATAGACTAGGTAGTACCAACTTTGGAGTCAGACCTGTGATCCTCATAGTCACACATGTTTACCAACTTCAAAAGCCACTTAATCTGAGCCTCATTGATCTCATCTGTACAGTAGAGTAATATTGCTCCTTACCTCACTGAGTAAGGGTTAAATGAGATTATACCATCCAAGGGGGAAAAGTGAAGGAAATGTAGGAAACTCCATTAAGCACATCAAACAATATATAATAAGAATTTCATTTCAAAAGGGAGAAAGGTGCATAAATACCGCAAGACAGCCAGGTGGTGGTGCCGCAAGCCTTTAATCCCAGCACTTGGGAGGCAGAGGCAGGTGGATCTCTGTGAGTTCAAGGCCAGCCTGGTCTACAAAGTGAGTTGCAGGACAGCCAGGACTGTTATACATAAAAACCCTGTCTCAAAAAAAAAATACTGCAAGAGGACCATGGCTTAGTAAGTAAAGATACTCACCACCAAGCATGAAGACCTGAGTTCAAACCCTAGGACCTACATGAGAGAAGGAGAGAAACAGTTCCAGTAAGTTATCTCTGATTTCCGGAAATATGCTATGGCAAGTGTGCTCCCACATACATATATACAAAATTACACATAAATATTAAAAAAATCTTCAGAAATAGCGGCTACAAATATTTCAAATTGAGTGACGAAGCCATATTATAATAAAATACTGAAAATTCAAGAGACAGAGAAAATCATGAAAATAACCCAAGAAAACTGAAATATTATTTGTCATGGGTCTCTAGATTACCAACTAACTTCTTATCAGAAATGGGTATTTCTGATAAATGGCACATTCTTGTATTTACAGCTATTCAGGAGGCCGAGGCGGGGGGAATCAGTGGAGCCTGATTCAAAACCAGCCTGTGTAAAGAGAAGTGAAATCCTGTTTCAAAAACGAAAACCAAGAAAAAGTGACATAGTTAAGATCTCAGAAACAGTGGAGGTGGCCGTGAAAGGTAAAATACCTCCCACATACTTTTTAAAAGCTGGAGAATTTGTTGCCAGAAGATCACACAAGACATGCAAGAGGACCGTTGTCAAGCTGAAAAGCAAGTGACCTTAGAGAAAAATTTAAATCTATACATAAAACAGACAAACGTGATTGTGTGTGACTATAAAAGACAATCTTGAATACTTTTTCCTTTATCTGTTAACGAATTTATTTACTTTTTTTTGGTTTTTAAAGACAGCATTTCTCTGTGTAGTCCTGATTGTCCTGGAACTTGCTATATAGACCAGACTGGGTTCAAACTCAGAGGTCCACCTGCCTCTGCCTCCCAAGTACTAAGATTTTGTTAACTTATGTTTAAAAGTTGTATTAAGTTGTATATAGTTGCATTGTATCTCCTATAACAAAAAAGTCAATGTATTTGCCAGTAACAGACGAAGATCAGAAATAATGCTTATTTTACTAAAAAATAGCAGAAATCCATAGGAACAAATAAAACAAAGGAGTAAAAATATGGCTAATTTTATAAAACAGTAAATAATTCAGCATCTTGAAAACTACCATCATTGTTTTTAGTGATAACCTTAATATATTGCTAAGCCTGTAACATATAGAAATAGCTAGCGTGCCCCAAATTCGGAGGAAAGGGGAACAAAAATATCAACTAGAGATAAAGATCTGTATTTTTTGTTAAAACGGTCAATGTTTTAAGATGTAAAAATTTTAATTACATTTTTCATAACAACAGAGACCCAAAATAACCTGAAACAGGGCAGGAAAGTAAAGAAAGGAGAAATTGACAAGTCTCTGAAAAGCTGAAATACTCAGTGTTTCCTTTCTACTGAAAGTAGTGCTACACAAGTGATAAACAAAGAGGTAGAATACTCCAACACTGTGAACTGAATAGATCTGAAAAGCAGCTATAGAACATTCTACCCTACAACACTAGAAGATAGATCGTTAGCCCATGCCTATGAAACGTCTTCAGGCTAAATCATGAGCTAAACCACAAAACAGGCCTTAAAAAAATCCAGATAGACTGAAGTGATGTAAAGCATGTCCTCTGACCACCTGGAAAGAGGTTAGAAATCAGTAACAAGAAATTGGGAAACTCTCAAATATGGAAATTAGTCACACTTAAGTAGAAAGTAGGTCAATAAAGAAACACAAGGAGGGCTGGAGAAATGGCTCTGTGGTAAGAGTGCTTGCCTACTCTTATAGAGGCCTGAGTTTGAGTCTCAGTACCCACATCAAGTGGCTCATAGCTACCTTTGTCTATGTAGAAAATTTTTAGAGATAAGCCTATTTAAAGAGAAAAAAGATCATATAGCAGTAATTCAGTTTATATCTTAAGCTGTAGGAAAAGAATAGCAAACTATACCTAAAACAAAAAAAGCATGCAAGATAAATGAGAGAATAAAATACAATTAAGAAAAGGCAATTAATCTAAGCAAGAAATTGGCAAACCTTTTACTAAATATCACAGGAAAAGGTAGACTAATTATTAGAACGAGAAAGGACGGGGTAATGCTACTGATCTTTGGGAAATAGAAGGTATATGATGGAATAGTGTTATACTTGTGTGTCGATAAATTGACTTACCCAAAATGAACAAATTTCTAGAAAGATAAGTGCCAACAACAAAATAAAGGAAGTCAGAATAGGCATAATAACCAATAAGAGAGATACCCTCAAAGAAAAGTCCAGACTTAAATTGCATTTTATTTGCATTCTACTAAATGTTTAATGAAACAGTAATCCAATTTCTTCACAAGCTGTTTTGTTTTTGTTTTTAAGGGAACTCTTCTGAGATACACTACTACAACATGGAAGAACCCTGAGAATATGTTCAGTGAAAGAAGCCAGTCACTGCTGAAGGAAAATTGTAGGACTCAATGTAGATGTAGATGAAGTATCCCGAATTGGTCACACACACACACACACACACAGATAAAGGGTATGTAGGGATAACTAGAGTGGATGGGAAGTCTTTGCAAGTAGATGAAAATGTTCATAAATTTCATTAATACTTGTATAGCAATGAATATACCAAGTGGATGAATTTTGTGGCATATGAGTCTCAGTGAAACTCACAAAAATAGGAACTTGGACATTATCCAAATGTCCATCTGTCAACACGAATGACTTATGGCACATCCATTTAGTGGGATACAATGAAGCCATTAAAACAGTGGACTCGATCTATGAATATATTGTGACTTGTACCAAGTTTTTATATTAAGTTATAAACTAAGATGTATGTATGTATGAGATGTATGTATAGTAAGGATACATTTTTAAGCAAATAGTTCATGTGTATAGTTTGTAGAGATAATTTCAAAATCAATGTAGGAAAGAAATAAGGAATGTGTATAATAAGCTGTAAACCTTCTGGAAGTAGGACTGTACAAGCTGAAAAGACACCTTCACCTTGTGTTGTGGTTCGGAGTGTTTTTTACCTTTTTCAATATTTTTTAAATTAAAATAATTTTTAAATATTCTTACAAACACTTAGCTTCCAGAATATTTGTCAGAACCACTCTGAGGATTTCTGACTTCACTCAGGACAAACTTCTATTCATTTGCTATATTGCTCACATGATTAACGCTCCAATTTTTGATAATGTGTAAGGGATGAGAAGTGAAGGACCCTGGTTACAGCTTCTTGCACAGTTACCCAGGGATGTACTTCTCAGCCAGGATTCCCAGAAGGGACTCCTTCGTCTTAGGTGGAAAACCTTACCTCCTCCTCACTAGACCTACAGACCACATACAAATGGAGAAAACTAAAATCGAAGATACCTTTCAACTGGTGCAGAGATACAGAAACTGGTGTATCCAGATGATGAAATTCTACTCAGCAATAAAAACTAAGGAACCATATATGCAACAACTTGGATAAATCTTAAATGTATTTTGCTAAGTAGAAGCCAGACTCAAATGGCTGCTTACTGTTATATTTCATTTGTGTGTTTTCTGGAAAAGGTGAAGCAATAAGGCAGAAAAATCAGGAGATACCAAGTGTTGGAACAAGGGATTTTTTTAGTAATGGGAACTTTATGTTGTTTATAGTTAAAATGTGTATGTGTTTGTTAAACTCAGAATTATACACCAAAAGAATGAATCTTAATGTGTGATTTTTTAAAAAAAAAATAAAAGTAATTTTAATGAAACAAAGATCTGCAAAGACAATCATTTCCATTAACTATTGTAAGCATTGTGTGATCTCTGATTGCTACAGAAAACCCAAAGTCACTTTATTTCCTTTTTGTTTCTATTAGGTGAGCCGAAGCCACTAAATCCAAATCTCTTTATTACTTACTTTTCTATTGCTGTGATAAACACCGTAGCCAAGGTAATTTATAGAAGGAAGGTTCTATTTGGGTCTTACAGTTCAGAGAGGAGTCCATTACTGTTGTGGCAGGAAGCATGGCAGCAGGCCATGTCAGAAGGCATAGCACTGAAACAGCTGAGAGCTCACATACTGATCCGCAGACAGGAAGCAAAGAGGCACACTGGGAATGGTGCAAGTCTTTTGAAACCTCAAAGCCTATTCCTAGTGCAGCAATCTTCCAATAAGGCCACACTTTCTAATCCTACCCTAATAGGTTCACCAACTAGGGATCAAGTATTCAAACATATGAGCCTATGGGCCCATCTCATTCAAACCACCACAATTCTATAGCTAGAGATACAACTCATTAGTATTACACTTTGTTTAGCATGCATGAGGCCCTAGGTTCAACCCCCAGTACTACCTAAAATTAAAAATGTAAAAATCTGACCCAGATAGAGTAGTGTATGCACTCAGGACCAAACAACAGGAAGCTTACTGACAAAGACTAAGCTGAGCTATGCAGTGAGTTCCAAGCCAGCCTATGCTACAAGTAAGAACTTTTTTTTTAAAAAAAAAATCTGTATATGTATATATAATTTTGCCATTAAAAAACTAAGAAATTTATTTGTTGCTCCAAGTGCTAATATCCTTCACATACAATATTGATTTTAGTAAGAGTCACTGAATAGTGCCAAACGTTTGGTCTACTAGATTTTGATTTTTCTCCTATATTCCCTGCAGCATTGCCACATAGTACCAAAGTTAATGTGTGCCTCCACTTTGTGGGCTGGTGCCTCTTTAGCAGCACTCTTTGTACCCTCTGGAGCCAGTTAAGATGAGGCTTACTTAAACATGAGTGCCACGATGAGCTGATAGCTGAGGTGACGAGTAAAAGAATAGGTGTAGTGCAGACACCCTGGACAAAGGATCAGATCACATCCCTGGTATGATATGGGCAGAGTGGAGTAGAGCAGTGGGTCTCAACCTTCCTAATGCTACAGCGCCTTAATACAGTTCCTCATGTTGTGGTGACCCCCAAACATAAAGTTATTTTGTTGCTACTTCATAACTAATTTTGCTGTTGTCATGAATCAGAATATAAATATCTCATATGCAGGATATCTGATATGTGACCCCCAATGGGGTCACGACCCACAGGTTGAGAATCTCTGGAGTAGACTGTCAGGAGGTTTCATCACACTATTCAGAAGAGGATATAGTTTAAGTGTATGTGTCTTGTATTTCCAGGCTTTTCCATCTCATATTTTTGGACCTTGTTGACTGCTGATAACTGTAACCATGAAAACAAACTGAGAAGGGAGAGCTTCTGCATTAAGGCAAGCCTTTTGCTTCCATAACAACAAATACCTGAGATAAACAGTTTAAAGAAAGGCTAATAGACACATTTTGGATGGGTGTGTATAGTAAATAAATATGCCAATTTGAGTGTCCACAACATACAGATTTATAAAATCTGCAAGTCGTGTCTATCCATGTCTCTGTCTCCTGCCCACCTGCCATGTGTCTCCCTGCCTGGGACCAGCCACTGCTGGGGAGAGAAGTGGAGGCAGAGGCAGGTAGATTTCTGAGTTCAAGGTCAGCCTGGTCCACAAAATAGGTTCCAGGACAGCTAGGTCAACACAGAGAAACCTCTCAAAACAAACGAATAAAAAACTTCATTGAGATCCAATCTCATTCAAGTAAGAATGGTTATTAGTTGGTAACACATACTGATGAGAATAGAGCAAGGAAGAGTCCTTAGATATTGGTTGTGAGAATATAAACAGCCATTATGTAAATAATAAATATGGACATTTCTTAAAAATTATGACCCAGCTATATTCTTGGATGTGTACCCAAAAACTCTTAAGTCAGGTTAAAATAGGAATATCTGCATATCTGTTTATTAATGCTCTCTTCCCAATAGAAAGCAAATGGAACCAATATAGATGTTCATAAACAGATGAATGCAGAAAGAAAATGTACAGTATACACAGTGTATGAGTTTTGTGTAATATTTGTTTATGCAAAAGTGAATTGCCTTGTTTAACTTTGTAAAGATGAGTTGCATTTGTTTATGTAGAAGAATATTTCTTTGACTATGTAAAGATGTGTTGCATTTCTTTAATTATGTAAAGATGTACATAGTTGTTGTTCTACCTAGCCTGCCTAAGGTACCTGATTGGTGTAATAAAAATCTGAAATGCCAATAGCAAAGAAGGAAGACTTTCAGGGCAGAGAGAGTAAGTAGGAGGAGGAATTTAGGCTTGGGAAGACAGAAAAAGTAATGCCAGGGAAACACCAGGGACCCGGCAGATATACAGACATGGAGGAAGCAGGAAAGTAGGACATACAGAATGAAAGAAAGGTAAAAATCCCCAAGGCAAAGTTTACATGAATAGAAACAGGTTAAATTAAGTTAAAAGAGCTAGTGGAATATGTTGTATGAGGAGCGGCAGGGCTGCGTCCCTGCCACCCTGGCTCCCAGCCGCCTGGCTAGCTTATGCCCCGGAATAATTACCCGGAAACTGTATTCTTTTAAACACTGCTTGGACCATTAGTTCCAGCCTCTTATTGGCTAGCTCTTACATATTGATCTAACCCATTTCTAATATTCTGTGTAGCACCACGAGCTGGCTTGTCTGGAGAGGGAGAATCATGGCGACTGCCTGACTTGGCTTCTTTCTCCCAGCATTCTGTTCTGTCTACTCCGCCTACCTAATTTTCTGTCCTATCAAAGGGCCAAGGCAGTTTCTTTATTTAATCAATGAAATCAACACAAAACAGAAGACTCTCCCCCATCAGGAATAAGCCTAAGCTAAGACTGGGCATTCATAATTAATAAAAGACTCGATGTGTCTTATTTGTGAGCTGGTTGGTGGATAAAAGAAAATTCAACAACTCTCTCTCTCTCTCTCTCTCTCTCTCTCTCTCTCTCTCTCTCTCTCTCTCTCTCTCTCTGTGTGTGTGTGTGTGTGTGTGTGTGTGTATGTGTGTATAATGCAAACACGGGTTTGCATCATGAAAGAGAGTGAAAAGATCTTTAAGGGGGGAAGAAAGGGTAATGAATGAAATGAATATATTTCACATAAAAGCATAAAGGCAAATTGTGACAGGGAATGAAGTGAACCATCAGGGCAGGCGAGGGCCATGGCAGGTTTACTGATTTCCACTATTCTGATGAAGTTATTTCTGACAGATCTGTGTTGGATGGGTTATTTGTTTATCTTTTAATATTTTCATGGAATTGGTTATTTAGAGCTATCTCTTCTGACATTTCAAAAGCTCATATCTGAATGAGTCCTCCTTGATATTTCTTGACTGACTGAATGATAGCTGATGTATTTGTCTGCAAATAATTTTATTTCACACTCATATTGAAAGATAATTTGCATAGATATAGGTTGCATTTTATTTCTCTTGGTTCTTTAAATACGCTGTTTCTCACTCTTGTAGCTTGCATTGTTTTCCATGAAAAATGCACTGCCATGCTTATCTTTGTTCCTTTGGAAATAATGTGCCTGTGTGTAATGTGATCTCTAGAGGGCTGCTTTGAAGTTTTTTCCATTTATCACTGGTTTTAAGCAGTTAAAGATATGTCTTGGTGTATTTCTCTTTATATTTCATGTGTTTGAGATTCATCGAGCTTTTGAGATTTGTAGATTTATAAATTTGTCATCATATAGTTTCTGTGATTCAACATTTTTCTGTTCTCGCATTGAACTCTGTTTTAGGCTGCTTTAAGTTGTCTACATGATACTTCAGAAATTTTTCACCCATCTTTTTCTGTATTTCAGTAGGGATTCTTCTTTTGCTGTCTTCAAATTTGCTAATCTGTCTGCTGCAATATGTATTCTAGTGTTATTCATATTTAGGGGTATTTTTCATATCAGAATTTTTTTTAAATTTTACTTTTAGTTTTCTACATATTATATCATGTTCAAATGCTTCTCTATCTTTTTGGAAAACAGAATAGTTATATGTTTTAATGTTTATACTTAATAATTATCTCATTGGTTTCTTTGTGTATTTTAAATGGCTCATTTTTTATTTATTTAAACTTTTTTTCAAATTCCCACTCCCTCCCCTCCTCCCACTCCCCTCCCTATTCCTTCACAGACGCTCCTACCCCACCCCCTCCAATCCTAAAAGAGGACCATGCACCCCACCCTATGGAAAGTCCCAGGCCCTTCCTACTACATCTAGGTTAAGCAAGGTTTACATCCATAGGGAATAGGATCCCAAGAAGCCGGTCCATGCAGTAGAGACAAATCCCAGTGTCACTATCAGTGGCCCCACAGTCTGCCCCAACTTTCAACCCTCTTCAAAGGGGCTTGGTTGTTCCCATGCTTGTTCACTCCCAGTCCAGTTGGAGTTGGTGAGCCCCCTTTAGCTCAAACAAACTGTCTCAGTGGATGAACCCCTCATGGTCTTGAATTCCTTGCTCATACTCTCACTCCCTCCACTCTTCAACTGGATCTTGGGAGCTCAGTCCAGTGCTCCAATGTGGGTCATTGCCTCTGTTCCTATCTGTTGTTGGATGAAGGTTCTATGGTGATAATCATCAGTCTGACTACAGGGTAAGGCTAGTTCAGATACCCTCTCCTCTAATGCTTAGAATCTTAGCTGGGGTCATCCCTATGGGTTCTTTTCTAGAGCCGGGATTCTTGCTAACTCCATAATGGCTTCCTTAATCAGGATATCTCTTTCCTTGCTCTCGTATCTGTCTTTCCTCGATCTCAACTATCCCATTCCTTCAAGTTCTCCTCAATCCCTCCTTCTCCCCTTCTTTCTACCACCTGCCCCCCTGCTCTCAAATTTTTGT